TTGGATTGAGACATTGAATACAGCAGGACCTATAGGACTAAATATTCATCATAATGTAGGCATAGCACCCTTTGTTGTCCCGTTTAATACAACCAGCAATCGAGCAAGCAAGATAGTTCATGCCCACTATAAGAGCCTTCAAGAGAAATTCCCCCATGTCTATAAGCAGAAAATGATAGTTGCATATTCAAAAAATAAGAACTTAAATGATAATATTGTTCATAGTAAACTAAAAACAATCAGTACATAACAGATACGATACTTCTCGCCCATCGGGCGAGTTATTTTTTCTAATTTCAGATTAGAATAAGAACAGAAGAAGTTTTCATAAATTTGAGCGCAAAAAAAATTTGGTCATCTACATAAAAAATCATAATGCCCCTTTAACTTGCAACAAATAAACTGACCATGTTTATGTTTTGAATCGACTTCATACAAATCTACATCAAAGCTGGAGAAAAAAAAAACACACTTGAACTACAACCAAATCTTAAAAATTATTATCTGGAGAACAAATCTCAAAGTCTTATTCTTACATTCAGTTTAATTCTAGACGATCAGAAAACATTGTTGTTCGGTGACGGTTATAAGAATTATGTATTCGAATATTTCTTACCCATCAATTAAATGTCTTATACAGCTATCATATATAGTTTCCTGTGCAGTAAGTATATTATAAACATAGTCATAAGTAAAAGATTTATCATTTCCAATCTGTACTTGTGGTGGATCCTCAGCATTTTGTATCACACTGGTACAAACTTGACACATGTCAATCTTCTCCCTTGCATTTTGAGGTCGGATTCTGTGAAATAAATAAAAATAAACAAAATCTTAGAGATGAAATTAAAAGTACAGTACAGTACTAAAACTTTTATTCTGATGGTAAAATTTGAAGCAACACCCATATTAGTTTTCAGAAGACTATAATTAATGTCAAATGTATTGTAAAATTCTAAGATGATATGTGAATATATTGAAATAGAGTTAAGTCTGCAAATATTGAAGGCGAGTTAACTTTTGTATACGAGTTAACCAACAGAATTTTGTTCACGAGTCGACTGGTATTCTAATATGGTAGTCAAAAATCTACACCCCTTTAGAGTTTAGTTTACTATTTCCGATTTTTCGCTGATCTCTATTCCACAAACCAGAAGTAAACTTCATACCAGTCAACTCATTTATATGTCAACTCGTTAACAAAATTTTGGTGGTTAACTTGTCAACAATATAATATGATGGAGAAAGTGTTTTCATATACAAGAAGGTATACTTTTTAAGGTATTTTTAAAACATTTCCCAGGGTTAATGTGTATAGAAATATTAAAACAGAACTTAAAAAACATGTTGTTGTTACTCATAGTTTCACGCTATGCGATCTTCAGACAATGGAACTATATAATTCAACCTGCATCCCTATAGCATGAAACTCTGAGTAACAAGATGTATTTTTAAGTTCTGTTTTAATATTTCTATATCGCTCTACAATTCATGTATTAAGCATTATTCTAAAAGAGAGATTTTTTCATTATTATCAAATGAATGTGGTAATGTCATGAGTTAATTCATTTTAAACAATGGGCATTCAAAATTCTTAAATCCAATACATCAATGCATGAAAAAACAGTTTATTGGCAATTCACCGTGATATCGAACAGTGGACAGTAATGTATATTTTTGTACATCTTTTGTTCTTAGTAAATTGAAACAATTTGAATAAACTAATTAAGAGATTAGGAGACTAAATAGCAACAAGATAATTGTCACTCATTTGATTAATTATAATCTGTACTATTGAAAAAAGGAGGTAATGTTACTATTATATATAGATAGTATCACAGCAGGTGTTCCTTATGTGCTGAGTGAGATAATATATACTAAAGTGCATAGGAGACAACATAGGCTTATTGACAAAACTTTCCTCATCTGATTTTGGATCAAAATGATATAGATCTAGGTCTTTTCTTACAAATTTGAAGGTTGAAATTATACCAACTTTACATCCAACAGTAGATTAAAAAAAAAACTAATTTTATTCCTGTCTTAAAATTTTAAACTTTCCGATTGAAAAATGACAATCACGACTCACATAGTCCACAAACCTCAGACCATTCATAAGTGTGGGTATGGTTCTTACTTGGTAAATCTAAACCCCAGTGACCAATTTCAATGAGAAATTGATTCATCAGCATTTAGGCTAAATAAGCATGTACCAAATTCATTTATTGCAATATATTCTTTTGTAGACGAGCGACTGAGGATTATTGACAAGTTAAATGCAGATGAGTTGAGTTTTCATGTAGACGAGTCGACTAAACACCTTTATAACTTACAGTCAAGCAACCTAATTTCGTGGAAACCTATTATTCATGGATTTCCGTAAATGTTTAATAATTTACATGAGTGACCTTGCGGGACTTCCGCATTAGTTTGTTTTGATAAACTTGGGTTTTCTGTACAATATCAGCAAGTAGAATGAATCCAGTAGTTTCAAGTAAGGTAAAATGGCGGATTTCACTTATTACCAAACGTCACCATTTTTTATCGGCCAAATTTCCTTATAATCCCAAGCGGAAATCGGAATTCCAAGTGTCGTCTGCTAGAATGTAGTCACGTGATCAACTAGCGGATTCTGTGTCAGCAGAAAAAATGTCTATGGAACACAAAGTGGACCATATTCTTATGCTGTTTCAGTGGCAATAAATCACGCTACGTACCTTATTTTGTCAGTCACTATTTTTATTTTTTAAATCATGGTTCTTTGAAGGAATTGTCACTAGTTATAATGAATTGATATTAAAGATAAATACTAAGAGAAGTTAATTATACCACCCGGTATCCATACAACGTGTTTTTCTAGACTTATTTATAGATCAAACATTGTACACAAAAATAGGTGACGCATTCTGCCGCCGTTGCCGAGTTGGTTGCTCATGAAATATGGGTCAAAGTGAAGGATTCATAAAGAAAATTGAAATAAACCAATTTTAATTATTTTGTAGAATATCTGAGGAAACATCTAAGACATAAAAAAAAAAAATTTCGTCTTTTTAACTTTGACAAAATTAAGTGTTGAATCCTTATATCCACGAAAATAGGTTACAGCACTGTATACCGTATACCAGAACGACAGATTAAACAGATTAACAGAATAATACAAACCTGATTGCAACCCTCACACTTGAATCATCATCTTTAACTTGTGCCATAGTGCTTTTTCTAAATATCTGTCACGTGAAAAATAATATGTTAAGTGTCAAATTGTGAAAGCTTATTGTTTTTAAAGACTAAAAAAAAAGCTGACATCTGTAGTAACAGTAAATTGCAGGCAGACCTAATTGTCTCCATAGATCTTATCCTAGATAACAACTATCTAGCCTGTTTGGTTGTTTCACTTTAGCACCATCACCATATAGGCTCTATAGCAAACTCTTAATCCTAAAGCTGTCAAAAAATATTCACAAACTGTTTTAATTGTATGCAAGATTGCAAGTAGGTCTAGAAGTAGTAGGTTAGTAGCTAATGGTCGAATAAAACAGTTCTTCGACTTCAAGTTCAACTTCCATATCGCTGATCAGACTTCGCTTGATATTTACATCAACTCTAGGTGCAGACGATTCCGATTCACACGATTTATCATAGACATAGAAAATGCATCAAGAATCTTCCACAGTTTGTTACTAAATTAAAGGCGCTATTTCGAACTAAAAATTAGCATGAACCAATCCTAGCTTTCGTCTATAACTTAATTTCAAATCAACGACACCTGCCTGATATGTTTCCAAGAGTAGATAACTCTCTTTTGATTACTAATTCATTCGAAGCCCTTCGTCAAATAGTCCGAAAGGAAATAACGAATATTCCCTGTAATAAGACAATTGACGAGGCGTTAGAAAACTACTGGCTGGATTTAAGCAAAATAAACGTCTAAAATACAGTACAGAAAAAATTTGATATGTATCCTACGTAGGCTATTCTAAAGGTTTCAAATAAAAACATTTCTTTAAGAGGTCTAAAATTAGTACACTCCGTTTTTAATTAAAACTATAAAACAAATTCAGTCCGATCAAGTAGATACATAGATTGTGGCGCGGTGCCAGTGGGGGTACATACTACAGGGGGAGATTTGCATAAAGCCCCTTTAAGTAAGGGGTGGGGGCATGTTTTTCAGAAAAGGCGTTAAAAATAAAGAAAACCTCAGATATTTCGTGCCCCCCCCCCCCCCCCCACTCGGACATAAACCTGTTTCCGCCCTTATGTCGAGGCCTCTCAATAGATGTATTCGATAATGTACAATCCAATCAAATCGCCTCATCTACAAACTTCCATGATACAAGAAAGGTGTCTAATGGCGGTCAAGATGTGTTCATGGGAAAATCTTGCCGACGCTTCATAAGTACGAAGTTCGCAATAGCTTGAAAGGAGGGGGGAGCTAGCATTTAACACTTTAAATCAGGCCTTCTGCATTATGGTGCGAATATACGAGGTAAAGTGCGGTGTACAGTGCGGGGTTATCGATACAGTAAAAAATAGAATAAACGAATCGTGTCCGCACCGTCTCTGGACTCGTGTGTTCACTTTTTCTATTTTCGTTTGTATCGATTAATCCACACCGGACATCGGACACCGTACCTCGTCTATTCGCGGCTTTAGTCGGCCATGCATTAGAGACTTGCATAAGCGAACATAATATCTTTTATGGAATGACGTAGCCTATTAATTTGCATGTGTTAAAATAACATATAAAATAACAAATTCTGTAAAGAGGCTACTAATACATAAATAATCTCCATCCCAAGAGGTTAAAATATAACCTTGACTCTAGTAGTTGCTATGACATATATAGCCAACGCACGTGCATCTCGTCATATTTTATTCTGAGAGGCAGGTAGTAGTATCTTTATGTTACTCAGTGCTATATTGTTTTATGTTTTATTTTATTCTAGTATACCTCTGTATACTAGAACGTTGTTCAGTATCTATAAATAATAGTAATATTAAACTATTACTTCATTAGCCTTTATTGTTATATGTTTAATCGGGACGTTGTCTGTTTGAACATTTAGGTTATGTTATAGTGTTGGTATGGGGGATACTGATGAAAATATGGACATTTTGTCCTTTCCACCTGATTCGGAAACGGCCGAATTGTTTAGGATCAGACCCAAAAAGTTGAATTGGTAGGGGTTAAATCTTTTAAAAGAAAATTGCCACCCCCAAAAGGATAGCAAAACGCTCTTGTAAAGATGTTTTAAATAATAGGGATATCAATGACTTAGGACAACTTGGGATTAGTGAAATTCTAACAAGCATATCACTTTGGCCGATGTTGTCACTGATTTGGCGTCAAATGTCGATAGGGTTTCCCAAGAGAGGAATCATTTGAGTCAACCTTTGGCGACCATCACAAGCCCACCGTATCATAGTTTTGAAAGCAATTCTCCAAATTTAATTAACGAAAATTGTTCAGTTGAGGGAGTTGATCCACAGTTAGCATTTAATAAGGTTTATCACTCATCCAGATAACAACAATGTATGGGATATTCCCCAACTCAATACAAATGAGAAAACAGGGCCTGCTGTAAACTCAGCTTTAGCAAAAGCTATAAACGCCTCTGTGTCTATAATGTCGGACAAGGAGAGCATCTCCGTGATCCTTAAAAGGAATCTAAGACCGCAAAATTGTGAATTGTTATGCTCTCCCAAAGTTAACAAGGAAATTTGGGGAGCTATCGGAAGTTTTGCGCACACCCAAGACTTGGCTTTTCAGGAAGTGCAAAAGTACTTAGCAGCAGGTTTGTCTCCAA